CTGCCAAACCCTTCTGCTTATGTAAGGTGATCTCTCGCCTATGCTCAAAACCCTCCAATTACTTTCCATGTTTCTCAATAAAAGCGAAGTCCTCACAATCACCTAAAGGCTGGAAGTTTGGGGAAGAGGCAACACATTTAGGCTACCTTGCTGTACAGGACTCGCCCTCTTTGTTGATGTTAGTCTTGATAACGTGGACTCCAACCTGGACTAGCACTGAGAGACCGGGGTTGAGCCAGAAGTCTGGGAACAGGAAATCAATGGCAGCTAAGTCTTCAAAGGACTTAGATGACGAACTATCTAAAGCCGTGGCAGTTGAAGTAGAAGGGAATTCCCATAGACCCAAAGTTGGGTCTACCATGTCCTTACATATAAGAAGGACAGTCACAAAATATGTGCCCACAAACTGGGGGCTTTGGTGATCTCATCCAGATCTCATGCACCAATGACTCCTGCATTTCCATTTCCAGTTATTTTCCCAAGCTCCAGGTTTGTATATTCAGTTACTCATTATCTCTACATGGAATCTAATAAGCATATCAAATATTAAAAACCAAACATTCCAGACCTCTCCACCTACCCCCACCACTGCTCCCAAACTCTCTCTCCTCCTAAAATTTTCTACACTTCCATAAACAGTAACTCCCTCCTTCTCATAACCTTGAGGCCACCTTCGATTTTTCTATCTCCCTCTCACAGCCCACATCCAACAGATTATCAACTTGTTAAAAAAAATACACCCAGGATCCTATCACTGACACTTTGGTACCAGCCACCATTTTCTCTTGCCCTGCTTACTGCAGCAGTTTCCTACCTGATCTCCTTGCTTCTACCCTTCATAACCTTGTAGTTCATTCTTAACAGAGTAGCCAATGTGAGCTTTGAAGAATTAAGTAAGATGATGCTACTCCTCTGCTCACAGCCCTCCAGTGACTTCCTATCTTACTCGCAACTAAAGCCGGGCTCCTCACGACTGTCTGGAAGGGACTCCATACGATGTGGCCCCCGCGATTTCTGTGCACTCGCCTCCTCTCTCAGTTTCCCCTGATGTCCCTCAGACACTCCAGACATGCCCAGCCTCGAGCTTTTTCCATTTGTTCTCTCTCCTCTGCCTCAACACTCTTCTCATGGATATCCACATGATCTGCTTCTTCAGCGCCAGATCTTCCTCAAACATTCCCTCAACAGCGAGACCCCCCCAACCACCCTGTTTAAAATGACAATTTCCATTCTTGCCCTATGTATTCTCTGTTCTCTTACCTGCTTTATTTATTTTTCCTACAATACTTATCACCATCTAACATACTACGTAGTATCTATCTTTGTTTACTTTCTGTCTTTCTCTGCTAGGATGTAAGCCCCACAAGACAGGGTTTGGTTGGTTTTTTTGGCTTGCTTTGTTCACTGCTGTATCTCCAGTCCTTAAAACAGTGTTGGGCACAAAATCGGTATTAAATTAATGTTAAAAAGGACTGTTGAGTAAAATTTTACTTGAAAATTTTCCATATAGCAAAATACAGTAAATACGGTTTTTAAAAGTAGCACTATGGAAATGCCCAGGAAGTCAAAATAGTGAACATATTTCTTACCCAGATAATCATTTACAAGTGGATACGAGGAATGAAGTAAGAGGTGGAATTTCTTGATGAACTTGAGTAACTTTCTATAGGATTAAACCTACAAAAATAACCCAACTTTCCACTTTTGACTTTAAACAGATGATTAATAGAAAATTAGTTGACAGAGGGGAAAAGACATGCATTGTAAGAAAGTATACTTACTGGAAGGAGGTTTCTTCTACAAAAGAGTAAGTACATGTCATTAATACAAGAGGTAACATGGTATGATACAGATTCATAAAAAGTGAGTTTTGGCTTAATTTCTTTGTATTAATCTTGATCTTCAGTTTCTGAGATCTGTACTTTCTAAGTCAAGAGGTAGTGAACTTTTTCTGTAAATGGCCAAACAGCAAATATTTTAGGCTTTGTGGGCTAAGAGGCAAAATCAAGGATACTATGTAGGTACTTATATAACAAAAGAGAAAACAAATTTCTAAAAATTTTTATTGATGAAATTCAACATATAATAATAATAATCAAAGTCTTATAAGTCTACTGGTTAGAATAATGAAATTCTTTTTGGGGGAATAACACTTCTCTTAATTCAGGTTCAAAGTTAGTGTTCTCTATCATCAAACAAATTGTAAATTTTCGTCCATAAAAGCCATTTTTAGCTCATGGAACATAGAACAGGTGGTGATGGAAGGGTGAGGAATTTGGACCACAGGTCACATTAAATAGTTTGCTGACCCTTGTTCTAAATGCAAATTCAAGAATATAGTTCTCTTGCATAGACTTTCTGCCAGATGAAGATGGGAATAGCATTCTTAGCTAGCAAACTCCTAATATCCAAATAGACTAATTAATTTAGAAATTTGCCAACTCCTCATTAACACTATTCAGACAGGTATTCTTTGCAAGTATAGAAAAAGGTGACAAGGATATTGAATGAATAATCTTACTTGTCTGTACTTTCACTGGTGACCAGCAGGGGGACACAGTTGGATT